TCAGGATGACTTTTTTTTTTTTTTTAGAAAATCATTTAATTATACATGAAAACTATCAGTAATGCGGGTCAAAGTATTTGATCACTCTTCTCTGGTGTTCCATGAGTGACACAAAGTCACACAAAAGGTTGAATTTTTCTCTGATTGTTACATCACAGCATTCAAACAATTTTAGAGGTCAAACTAATAAGAGAACGTGAAAAATCTGCATAATTTTTAATCTATGAGATATTTTAATTAAGGTTATGGGTGATATTTCTTTTGCCTGATGAATGTGTTTCTTAAAAGCCTGTGTACACTTATGCATACAGTATCTAGAATATCTGTATCTATTTATCTACAGCATCTATATCTATCTATCTATCTATCTATCTATCTATCTATCTATCTATCTGCCTGCCTGTCTTATCTATCATCTGTCTACCTATCTACCTAATCTGTTCATCTGTCCATACTTTCTTCCATTTTTCTGCACATGCATACGCGCATACACACACACACACACACACACACACACACACAGAAACTCATATGCAAAAATATGTAATATTTGAAAGATATCTAGAGGTAACTTTACAATCATTAGGGTTACTTATGCCTGGTTGTTGTCTATAGGCTTTTATAACAGAGGAGATGATTCTAATCACGTTTGCTAAAGAGACATTTAAAAGATTGATAGTAAGCATACAAAAGCTTAACTTCCTTGGGAGGTGACATCTTTTAAAAGTACAATCGTATCAAACATAGAAATGCTGACATTTTATGTAAATATGTTACAACTTTTCTTAGCAATATATTATCACTTCTTCCCAGAGCCAACCCACTCCATTCAACATCCTATACACCTATAGACTAATTAAGTGAATTAATTTGTTTTGGAATTTAATAAAAATTTTTATTTTGGACATATGAATCATGCAGATCCCAAATGGAAATTATACTGGTTAATCCTCTAACTTCTGCTTTTAAAATACTCTCTGGGAGGAGCAGTTCAAATTCCAGTAGACCTTTTCAGAAACATAAATTGAACACCATGTTTATTCTGCAAAGGTCTTTCAGATGAAGCCTTAAAAACTGTGAAGACTCCCTGCGATTTTCTCCGAGGACATGTCTTCATTAGCATTTCAATAATTCAACCTTCTGGTTGTGCCTTTGAAATTTCTTTAATCTTTGGCATTGAAACAGCTAAGATGTATATCATGGAATCGTGAATCTCTGTGCAGGAATACCACCATTACACTGAGCAGATCTGAGGCAAGGCAGGGCCCTTCCTAGCAAGGATGACTACCAATGTGCTGTGAAAATGATCAATCAAAGGCCACTTGTAAGTGACAAGTAACTTTACTTTTTTTCCTTAAAAAAATATGAGATAGTTAATTTTATATTTTAGTAAAAGTAAACTTTAAAATTATGCTAATAATACATGTTCATTATAGAATAATATGAAATTTATAGATAAGCATAGAGAAGACAAATTCATTCATCAATTTATAACCCAGATATACTAAGTTTTTAAATATATTCTTTCAGAATTTTCCTCTGTATAGGTATACATATAAAGTACATGAATAAATTTTCTTTTAAATTAAGATATTTAAATATTATATTTATATGCAACTTAAGAAGATATTCAAATATTGTATTTATATGTAGCAGCTTCTGCAACATAGGAAGGTCACCTTAACAGTTTGTATCACTAGGTGTCCCTGATCATCTTTCAGATAGAGGAAGCAAACCAATTCTCTTCAAGAGTCTGCTGGGGTCCAAAATATAAGTAAGAGAGAGGAGGATGCTCTCATATATAATTCATACCAATCTCTGCGACTCCAGAATTGTTTTGTCTAGCTGTTTACATCATCCACTGCCATCATCTCTTGGGGTAACACAAAGTCACACAATGATGTCACCTGCAAGCACCCTGTTTGCACAGGGTGTCTCTTGTTCCACAATGATGTCAGCTGCAGACACTGTGGATCACACTGTTGGTGGTGTGACCTCCTTTTTCTCGATCATATCTTGTAGCTTTGTTATTATCAAACTCGTAGTGTCTTCTTGATAGGTTTTCCATTTTCTACCCAGCTTTCAGGTGCGGTTTGGGAGTAGAGGGACTCAAATGGCTGGTGCCATAGTGTTCTTTTAACTAATTTGGTAGAGAGTCCCTATATTTGGTCACCAATTATTACTGTCATTCCTGTTCATGCAAGCTGCTCATGACAGAGAAGAACTCCACTTTTCTCCTCTTGACTCTGCTCTGGACTTATGATGTGTTTTGACCAATAGAACATGATAGAATGGATGCTCTGGGACTTCTGAACACAGGCTTAGGAAACTTAGCTGCTCTCTTTTGCTTCTTCTTGGGACAAGGTTAACATACTAGAAGGAAGTTCAACCAAAACTACTAAATGCTTAGAGGTCATATGGGCAGATCTAAAGGCTATCATGGATATCCCAGCACTAGCCAAGCTCTCAGATACATGCATCGACACAAGTGACTCCAGCTGGCATCTGTGAAGCCAAAGAACTGTCCAGCTGTGTCCTGCCCAAAGTTGTGACCCAAAGAATCATGAAAAAAAAATAAATTATGGTTGTTCACATAGGTAACTGAAACAAACACGACTTTGAGTGAAGTTAGATTTGGCTGCGTATTTTAGAAACTATGCTTCATGCATAAAACAAAAGAAGCCACATCAAGCATTATCTTTGTAACACAGAAGTATATTTCTTGTTCATATAGGAGAAATCTCAAAATAAGTAGCAAAGGGATATTATAGAGGTTTTATTACCTGGCCTCAAAGCTTCTTCCTTCTGCTCCACTTTCTTGACATGGGATTTTTATTCTAAAGTCACCTCATGACCTAATATAACTGCTAGAACTCCAGCTATCATAGCTACTTTCCAGGCAGCAAGAAGGAAGCCGAGGAAAGGGCAAAAGAGACAGGCTTTCTGGCTGAGTCCATTTCCTGAAGTATTATTCAGGAAAGTTTGTATAACATTTCCATTTGGCCAGAATTTAGTCACATGGTCACTTCCAGCTGCAAAAGAGGCTGGGAAATTTAGTCTTGTAACTGGGCACAAGACCACTCCAAGCAAAATTGGGGTTTCACACAAAGGCAGACAGAGATGGCAGGAAACTAGCAATTTCTGAAACTGGCTCTGTATTCCCAGGGCAGTGAGGCATCACAGACACCTGATTTAGAGCAATTTCTCATGGAGATAAATACTCTACATTAACCACAATTGTCTCTAGTATTCAGGTTCTACATTTTGGTGTCCAGTTCATCCGTCTCTCCTTTTGTTTCCATTGATCCTCTTTGAAACGTGGCTTCTATGGAGACTCTCTGTTCCATAGAAGTATTGGAAGATACTTCATCAAAGTGTTGGTAGATCTCTGTGTTCATGAATGAATGGATTTGTTTCCTGTGAGGTTCTGAAATAAACTTGCAATCATGGTATTACCTTCTCCCTCATATCATACAGATGACCTCCAAGAAGGGTTGCCTAGCTTCTAAACGTTTTATACAATGTTTAATTTATGGAGAAATATTAGTAACAAAGAAACTAATGTAATAAATTTAGGTAATAAGGGAAAAACAGAAATAATGAAGGATGAGACAGAGACCCAGGCACTGAGTTATTTTCACTTAACAGCACCTCTTTCCCTTCTCAGGGTCTTTGCACCTTCCATTCCCTCTGTCAGTAATGCCTTCTCCCCTCAACCTCCTTACCCCACTAGTTTTCATTAATTTGGGGGTTTTTAGTGGAAATCTACTTTTTTTAGAGAGGTTTTCTCTGACCAACTGATCTCAAGTAGGTGTACCCTGGATGTCTGTCTTATCCATCCCCTTTTTTATCTTTCATGGCACTTGTCATAATTTCTAATTCTGTATCCAGCTGCTTATCTGTTCAATATCTGCTACCCCCTCTGGACTACAAGCTTGATAAGGAAGGGACTTTCCTGCCTTTTTCACTGATGTGTTCCAAACACACAGTGCCATACCTTGTTACCATAGATGCTCAATGACTATTTGTTAAATGAATAAACAAGGAGGGGAAGTTTAGAGAAGGCAAAGTGAAGAGACAGAAAGAGAGAGGGAGAGTCATGTTATTCTGAGATCTCAGCTGCCCAGCCTGTTTATTTTGTAGCCAGACTTGAATAACCTGGCTACAGGTAAGTAGGTTATGCAGAGCTGGGGTGTAGTAGAAATCTTAAGGTGGGACTAACCTGAGGCCAAAAGTTTTCTCACCCCAGGTTAGGCTCAGTGGTTCATGCCTATAAGCCCAGAACTTTGGGAGGTCAAGGTGGGAGGATCGCCAGGAGTTGAGCCAGGAGTTGGAAAGCAGCCGGGTCAACACAGCGAGATCTCAAAAACTAAAAAAAAAAAAAAAAAAAAAAAAGCTTCCTCACCCTTGATTTAAGACAGATACATCTCCATGCTATACTAAAAGGAACAAAATCATGGATTTTTTAATTTGGAAGCCCTTCCAAATTCTATGGAATTTTCTGAAAAAATAGAGCACTATTACCCAAACAAATACTAAGAATAGTAATAATTAATATTAAAGGAAATAGTAATGGAACATTACTAGCCAAACTGACTAGGAAAATGTTTTGGATAAGTGATTTGTCCACTATCGTGCATTGTGGAACTGCAGAAGATGGCTAATCTTACGTCTTGAGGTATAAGTAGTGGCTTGTTTTTGAGAAATGCCTGCCACACATTCAGCTCTAGGTAGAGCAGACACCTGCCCAGGCTGTACCAGTGTATAAAGCTATCATAACTTCCTAGAGGGCTGGGAATCTGCTGCAGAGGGTACAGAAAAAAGGTTGAAACTAGAAAAAATTAGAGCGACTCAGGGAAACAGGAAGTTAGAATAGTCCAAGGATACAGAAAAAAATGTCACCAATGAAGTCAGTCTTACCGTGCCTCACTAGTCCTCCTCCATGCCAGTTCCTCTGACTCTGACCATATCATGGATTCCTTCCCCTTCTTTCTCCCCAGGCCTCCAAATAAGTCTACAGATTCTGTCAGTAATGGCCTGGAGTTCCAAAGCTTATGACTCAAAGGTGATCAGAGCATTCAAGATAATGCGCCTGAAGCCAGTCTGGATTGGTAACTGCTCAACTCGGTATGTTCTTCAGACCCTGACATGGGTTAATTCACAGTTTTCTGTCCACATGTCCATTTTCTTTTCACCGCATGATGGAGACCATTCTATGCATCACTGCCAGATTAACCTTCCCCAAACATTTTTTGATCACGTCACTCACTTTGTTCAAAACACCTTAAATGACCCTCTGTTATCGCTAAGGGTTCAAATGCTTTAGTCTGGTTTTCAAGACCCACCACAATCTGGCCCTACTGTAGTTGCTCCTGCTGCTGAATCCTGTACTGTAAATAAGAAAGATTAAGGAGACAGTTTCCTCAAAAGTGATCAATTTTCTAATTGTGCCTTCAATGGTTTGGTATAAAAATTATAATTCATTTCAATAACTGATCCTGCTGGACTTGCTACACATATTAAATGTTCCATGAATTTAGAGCATCAATAATGTTCAGCTGCAGGAATTATGCAGAAATACCTTCTATCTTGGCAAGTACACGAAGTAGTAAATCCCGTGGGCAGTTGAGACTCCTTGGTAAATTTAAACATAGTACTACATCCAGAATAATATAGTGATCTCTCACCATGCTGGATATGATCATCATCAGCAATGATTTAGAAAATGCGAATGATTTATATTTTTATTTTTGAACAGTAAATCTTTGCTTAAATTTATGGAGGGGTTTAGATTTATATAGTAGGCTCTAGTTTCCATCATGCGGGAGTAATCTTAATGGCCACTTTTGAATTCCATTCATCTTTACACTCGCCACAAAAACATTTGGAGACTAAAATAAAGATTAAGATGGTGATTTGGTTAAAAGTGCTTAAAGTTTTGAGTTTTAGCATGAAATATCAAACCCAGATGGCTGGCATTTTTGAAGTGGTGAAATTCACCTTTCATGACTCACAGACACTTTCATTTTGAAGGTGAGCTACATTAGGACATGAATGCTCTATCACTCTATCATCCTGCTCCTTTGAATATAAACCTAGAGATAGCTTTTATAAATTTAAAAATAGAATGACCACTCTAGCAAATGAGATCCATCCAAATTTATCATTATTGCATATTGTCTATCTAGACTTTCTTCATCAGAGTGGTTGAGATTATGAGCTCTTGTCAAGGTGCTTGGATTCAAATTCCAGCTGTCAGTCTTTAGTACACATTAGAATGCAGACAAATTACCCTCTCTGTGTCTCAGTTTACTCATCTGTAGAATGGGGATAACAATAGAGATGTTGTGAATATGAAGTGAGTTAGTTGTATAAATTGTCCAGCATGCAGAGGATCAACAAGACCATCTATTTCTAAGTAAAATCTATTTCTTAAGTAAAATTCTTCCCTGTAGGACGATGGAGAGGAGATGGGGAGGGGGTATCTTCAAATGCCTCCAGAGGCCACAGAGGTAGTGAAATGTGAGAAGGGATTTGGTGGCAGATATCAGTGGAGTTGGGCTGGGCGCGGTGGCTCACGCCTGTAATCCCAGCACTTTGGGAGGCCAAGGCGGGTGGATCACGAGGTCAAGAGATCGAGACCATCCTGGTCAACATGGTGAAACTTTGTCTCTATTAAAAATACAAAAAATTAGCTGGGCATGGTGGCGCGTGCCTGTAATCCCAGCTACTCAGGAGGCTGAGGCAGGAGAATTGCCTGAACCCAGGAGGCGGAGGTTGTGGTGAGCCGAGATCGCGCCATTGCACTCCAGCCTGGGTCACAAGAGCGAAACTCCATCTCAAAAACCAAAAAGAAAAGAAAAGAAAAGAAATTAGTGGAGTCTGCAGATAACTGTCAAGTGTGCCCTACTTCAAGGCTTGAAAACAAAACAAAACACTGTGTGCCAGCCAAAACCACAGTGCCCCTTGTTTATTGACCAGCCTTGTATAGGCCTGTGAGCTGCTCACCCATGTTGACCCCTGGCCAGCAGAAAGAGCTCCAAACCACAAGTCTGGAGGTGCAGGCAGTGACCTTCTCCTGCAGCTTCTAGCTACGGAAGACTGGACAGGCTCCTTAACTAGCTTGGCTTCTGTTTCCCCACTCGAAAGGAGAAAAGAGATTCCTTCTATGTTGGAAATTCTGTTTAAATGGAGAAGAAAGAGGAATAATAACTGTTAAAACCTTTTCACAGTGTAAAAATGGCATATAAATAGTAAAAGTCCTGTTAGCATGCTTAAGAAGTCTGTACAGTATGTGGGGGTCCCTAAAGGAGCATTCCAACAAAAGCTGAAAAGGCTGCCTAAGGAGGATGTGGTCCTGAAGTCTGAAGGCAGGAAGGAGTACAGATGGAATAAAAGGAGCAAGAACAAATCAGATCAGAGGATCGGACCCAGGCAGAGCCTTCGAGACCAGCTGGGCACAGGAGACAGTAAGGCCACTTGTTTAGTTGAAGTGGAGAACTGGGTAATAGTAAATGATCCCCTCTAGGGTGGGCATGTGAACGTTTCAGAACCTGGTGCTGCTAAGCGGCCTGGATATGCCCAAGTTAACCTTTGGGCTACAGTCAAGTGGAGAAAAGCAAAACCAACACGTGCAAGCAGATATTCCTGTTTTCAGACATTATCTTCTATTCTTGTTCTCAGGAGACCTACATGTTGATTTGCTTTTATATCATTCAGAATTTCTTAGTTCCTGAACTTATTTCTCATTTCTCTTTGTGGCAAACAACATTTTCCGAAGATGGACACGCCAGCATACAACTCTCATTCCACAGGCTCTATTTACAATGTGACTGCTGCCCCTCCCACCAAGAGGCCAGGGCCATGTTCCCTCCAAATCTGAGTGGGGGCTTATGTCCTACCCATAACATAGGGCAACAGTAACTTCTTCCATCTGTGTCTCTCCCTTGGGACATGAGGCTTAGGAGCCCTGATGGCCCTGCTGGGAAGACCATGTGGAGAGATGGCATAGAGGTAGAGATCCACGTTCCATCAGCCCTGGCTGTCTCAGCTCAGGGAATCAAACTTCCTTGTGCTCTAGACCTTGTGAGTGGGCCCCATTTTCTGCTAATGTCTGACTGTGACCTCAGGAGACACCTGAAGCCAGAAGTGAGCAGCCAAGCCACTCATATTCTTGACCCATAGAAACTGGGAGATAGAAACTGATAGTTGTCAGTTTTAATCACTACATGTTAGGGCAATTTGTTACCCTAGCAATAGGCTAGTATATTTATCCCTTGCTACATTTCCTTCTGCTTAGATTATTATTATTATTATTTTTTTTTGAGACAGAGTTGCACTCTGTTGTCGAGGCTGGAGTGCAGTAGCAAGATATGGGCTCACTGCAAGCTCCGCCTCCTGGGTTCAGGCAATTCTCCTGCCTCAGCCTCCAGAGTAGCTGGCACTACAGGAGCCCGCCACCATGCTTGGCTAATTTTTGTATTTTTAGTAGAGATGTGGTTTTACCATATTGGCCAGGCAGGTCTTGAACTCCTGACCTTGTGATCCACCCGCCTCAGCCTCCCAAAGTGCTAGGATTATAGGCGTGAGCCACCGCGCCAAGCCATGACCTATGTTTTCTAGCTCCAACTGGTATCTAGACTTGTCATGGTCTTTGCGTGAAAGTTTGACTTTTCGCTGCCCTTGAACTTTACTCCTGATTCCAATTTACCCATTTGTTTTGGTTTTGTTTAAGGAGATTGTAAACTGGTATGCCTACAAGGGCCATGCAACAAATGCTAAGAAGAGAAGTAGACCTGGGTAGGGAAACGGGGGAGTGGAAAGATGTGTAGTAAGTTTAGCTCAGGCCACATCATCATCTAGCTCCGGAAGATGGATACAGTGGGCATGTGCACTGAATGACAGATTATCTGATTTTTTTTTCCAAAAAAAAATCAAGATTTTTATTAAAAAACTTCTGGCTTGAAAAAATTTAAATGCTATTCAAATTTGAATAACAACCATGTCAAATAAAATATATCTACTGACTGAATTTAGCCATGAACTGCCAATTTGCAACCTCTAATGTAAAAGTTTTTAGCCACTAAATATGTTAGGAAGACCTGAAATGCAGAATAAAGAGATTCCAACTATTCTAGTGACAATGAGTTCTGAGAAAGGTGACAAAATCAAAATAACCCTTGGAGAAAGATAAATGTTACTATCAGTGGACTGGGATTCAGTCTTCAGCCCATTGTAGTAATTCAGTAAGCCCATGTGGTCATCGTGTGAACTTATATGGTCAATACAAAGTAAGCTTGGCGGTCCATCTATGTCAAACATTCTATTTAAATAGAGATAAAAGATGAGTAATAATTGTTAAAACCCTATTTCAGTTTTTAAAAGGCACATAAATAGTGAAGGACCAGTTTCCTTGCTTGAGAAATTTGTACAGTACCTGGTTGTTCCTGAAAGAGTGAACTGACAGAAGCTGAAAAGGCTGCCTAAAAGAGAATGTGCTTCCAAATTCCAAAGGCAGAAAGGAGCACAGGTTACATAGAAGGAGCAATAACAACCCAGACCAGAGAAGCCAGACAAAGCCTTGGAGACTAGATATATATAGGCGATAGTAGTTCTTAATTCCCATTTCTTTTGTGCCAAGCACAGGCACTGTGATCCTTCCCTGAAGCTCAAAGAACACTGTTCTTAGAGAAAGGTCCCATCAGCATCCACCCTCCAAACCTTTAGATGTGTATCTACCTCAGTTCTGCCTGGGAGCCCTGATACAGACCTTTCCATCACTCCTGAAGACCCTGGAACGCATCCTCTTTTTTTTTTTTCCCTTCTGGAAAATAACAGCCAGTTTTGGTAGATTCTACCTTTTCTTTCTCTGAGTCCGTCCGTTACTTTGGTCAATTCACCTCTGAAAAGAAAGCCTCTCATGTCTATGGTGGGACATGCAGAGCTACAAGCTGAGCCACCCTCTGGGATGGAAGCAGGGGTCTGGGAGGGTGGCACTAACACTTAATATTGTTGAGTTAAAATCTCAATAAATTATCTCAGTAAATCACACAATCAGAAAGACAAACTCCTTGTCAATAAATATGCACAACTCCCTGCCTAGGAGACAAATGCACCTTGAGTTCACT